TCCAGGGTCACAAATAGTCAAGATTATTTAATAACTAAGCGAATAGTTATTATACAATTTTGTAACGATTTTTATTTAATACCTTTATAAAATTAACTTAATGAATGAATAATTTTAGAACTTTTCTCTTGATCATTTTGCAGTACCAGGTGTCATACAGCAGATGGCAGACATACATTGTATATAAAGAGAACAGAACAGATGAAACCAGTTTTAAAACTATAGAAAATCATTCTGGCTTAGTAGTTACAGCTTTCTTGAGTGACCAAACTGACCATGTTTATGAATATAAATATGGATTTACCTGCTCTTTCTTTATCACTAAAAAACAATGAAAAGTTATACATATCCTCAAGGTGTCGGTTTTCCTGCCCCTGTTTATACCGGTTTATACAGGTAAATCCAACCACTAGAGTCTTGATTGCTGGCCTACTGGGATAAAGAAGAGACTTGGTTTGTGAGCAGTAGAAATGTACAGTGTTGGTTGCTTCTTATGAGTGTCAAGGAAAACAGAGCTCATTACTTCAGAATGGTCTCTTTAAAATATTACTTTTATTGATTTTAGTTTGTATATGCCAGTTAAATAATGAGATGTCAGCATTTATTATTTTGAGGTCAGTGGTCTTCTCAAAGCATGCTGCCATGTTAATTTTAGATAAAGATGTTGAGTTGATGACAGAATCTTTATATCAAGTCACTGAGTATTTGCAGAGACCCACTTTTCAATATTAAAGACTCTTTAATCCAGGTGAGCGAGTGACAACGAGAGGCGTCGATTCAAATCTCTATATCCCCCAGGATATAAACCTAGTAGCAATACATTTTAAGATTATTTAAAAAAGTACATTTTTATTAAAGAAATTCCCACCCTATTTTGAGATATGTGAGAGCCATGTGCATTAGCCTGCTTCTGTCAGGGAAACTGATTGTGTGTGTATGTGTCTGTAAGCATATGTGGAGGTTTACTAAGTCACAGCTGAATTTGTTGCCTGCAGCAGTTATAGAGGGGATCTGTCAAGCTAGTTATCAGTATTCCATTCATGTGGTTTCTCTCTCCACTTCCATATATTGCTCTCTCTGCGGTATTGTTTCTTTATGGTCATAGATCTCATTCTGTTTCCCATATTTTTCACAAAAAGACTCAGAGACTCTCTTGTATGTCCTCAGCCCCTCAGTCTTTCATCTTATAAGTACACTCTATGGAGAACCCTTCACTTTTTTATTCTGCCATTCTCAGCATTCCTAAATTGAATTACCGTTGTACCACTGTGAATCTGAATTGAGAACGGATCTGCTTAAGTTGGTCTGTATTTGAATGGAAATCAGTTTGAGTCTGAATTGTGCGTCAACAATTCAAATCTGTTTATGTAATTATGAATTAAGAACAAACCTGTGTATGTGAGTTTACACTGAGAACAAATCTATGTAGACAAGTCTGAATTCAAAACCAATCTACATGAGGAGTCTGAATTGAGAAACCAATCTACATGAGGAGTCTGAATTGAGAACAAATATACATGCGTGAGTCTGAATTGAGAACAAATCTATGTTAGTGAGTCTGAACTGAGAACAAATCTATGTAGGCGAGTCTGAATTCAAAACCAATCTAGATAGAGGAGTCTGAATTGAGAACAAATATACATGCACGAGACGGAATTGAGAACAAATTTATGTTAGTGAGTCTGATCTGAGAACAAATCTATGTAGGCAAGTCTGAATTCAAAACCAATCTACATAGAGGAGTCTGAATTGAG